GATATGTAAAAGTTTCACATTCTTCCATTTATCAAGGTTTCATTACAAAAAGTATTACATGTTAACAACAAAAGCAAATGCCCTAAAGGCTTACAGCTTTCCAAGTTAACACTTGGTTACAACAAGAGAGTACTAACTCGCTTACACATTAAGCCCTTGGCTTGAATTTACATGTAATACATCAAAAATAAAACGACAAAAGTATGTCCGCCTCTAGCCTCCCAAGCTATGTCCTTGGAGGTGGCATGCTACCTGTACCTGAAAATGATATTCCCATATAGGGTGAGCCACAACCCAGTAGAAACACACTAAACCAACCATGAACAACGACTAAAAGAAAATTAAATCTAACTATTAAAACCTATTGATAAGTTACCTAAAATCTTCATGACTTTGGATACAATAATTCTTCCCCCAACTGTCTGAAGATAATGGATACAATAATTCTTCCCCCAACTGTCTCAAGATAAAACAAAAATAAATGCATTCTTTAAGAGACATCATTTGAGTAGTTTTTTATTTTATTTTGGCAGCGGCTTTGGTCCAGTCCGATCTTGGACTGAACCGTGCTGTTGAGCCTGTGGAGGCTCACCACGGATCCCGTTTTGATAATCTGAACCGTTCAATGTGTAGAACTCGTTGAGTGCTATATGTCTGTAAAAAATCACGTTAATCAGATATCAATAGCTATTTCATCGGATCAGATTTCTATCAACTGTTTATTTTTTCATTGTCTATTTTTTATTTTTTATACAAAATTGATATGATCACATAGCTATTGATATCTGATTAACGTGATTTTCAAGCTCAACTTTCTCTCCATTAGGAAACCTAACAACCCATATGAAATTAACCATGCTAAGCTCTAACCCATGAGCTATCTCTTCAATCTCTTCCTTGGACATAAAATACTCACTCCCAAAAGAAACAAACAAAGTGGAGTACTCACCCTTGTTGTCAAGCCATTGTATGATCTCAGAGTGCTCATTTTCATCATCATCAATGCCTTGAACAAGTGGACCAACAGGGACAACCTTCTTCTAGTAAGAGAGAGAAGAGAAAAGTGAAAAGTGATTTGAAAAGTCACAATTTCGGGATTTAAACCCAGTCTTCCGCTCGAGCGTAAAACACCCCGCTCGAGCGGCCACTCACAGACTTACGCTCGAGCGGCCAACCTCCCGCTCGAGCGCAGAATGCACTCGCCCAGCACTTTTGCAGAACCAGGCCTCCGCTCGAGCTCCCAACCCTACGCTCGAGCTCACAACACTGCACAACAAGATACTGGATGGATGTAATCTACGCTCGAGCGCCAACACCTCCGCTCGAGCGTACAGGCCAAAACTCTGGGCAACTAGTTTTGGTTTCTAAGCTCAACCAACCTGTAACAAACCTGCCCAACACATCCTATAACTCAAATACGAAGTAAAAAGGATGTAAACAAGATAATAATCAACTACCAACATCCACGGACACATGTCTGGATCACTGTACAACAAGGGTAAATCTGGGATCGCTATAGTGGCGGACGATGGCGGCTACTACGGAAAAGAAGGAAACATAATCTCTTTAGAAAGGAGATAGGATAAAGTTTAAATATTGATAGTGGTAGAATCGTAAATCCATACCACATTGTTGATAATCTAATTAGAAAAAAGATAGTGTAAAGTTTAAATATTGGTAAGAGTATAATCATAAACTTATCCCACATCGTTTAAAAGCAACGCATAATATTTAAATGTAAGATGTGGTTGAGAGATCTAATAATCGCTGAGCTAAGTAGCCTTAGCTAATCACTCAAGTGAGGGCACCAAAGTGGTTGGATAATGGTAAAGTTGATAGATGGCTTCAAAACTTGAACTCCGGCTAGACCAGTGAACCTTGAGGTTCTGGCCAGCTTTAGGTTGTCGAGTTAAGTCATTGGACAACCATTTCTTTTTTTTCTTTTTTTTATTATTATTACATATAGAAAATAAAAAATTAACATTGTAATGATCAAGGATGGATTTTTTTTTTCATATGTAAAATAAATAAATTAAAATTGTTATGATCAAGGATGGATCCTGAAACTTTGAAAATCTAAATATATGCTTTTGCATCTTGTGGATCAGTCCTTGGTGATTATTACACAACATAAAAGTGATGGTTTTTTCTATTTCAATGAACAACATTTGGTGGGTTTGGCAACTATATAACCCCCCCCCCTTTTTTTGAATATTATATTTTTTAAATTTGTGTCAAAGATTTCACATTTTTTGTGCATCTAAAGTAGAATGATCTAAAAACATCACCAACTTATTATCACTTTTTTTTTAATGAATTGTTTTTCATTGTTTTTTATAACTTGTTTGGTCCACGTAGTTTAGTATATTCCAAAACGCAAAGTTTTTCGAAAATTTTAGAAAAAAATTCATTAAAAATGAACCCCAAAAAAAAAAACCCCAAATACTCACCCCAGTTCCACTACGTTTTCTTTACGAAAAATTAAAATTCAATAGGATTTTCAAAAAATAATAAGAAATTTATATTATAAATATAATTTTAATTTTAATGTTTACAAAGTTTACCACTCCGATCTGATTTTTTTTCAAAAAAAATTCAAAATAGACTCAAAGAACAATAAATACTTAAAAGCTTCGACAAGAGAGGGTTCGGTAATGGTGGAGGACGATGTTGGCTACAACGGAAAAGAAGGAAACATAATCTCATTAGAAAAGTGATAGCGTGAAGTTTAAATATTGGTAGTAGTAGAATGGTAAATCCATCCTACATCGTTCATAATCTAATTAGAAAAGAGATAGTATAAAGTTCAAATATTGGTAGTAGTATAATCGAGCACTTATCCCACATCGTTTAAAAACAACACACAATGTTTACATATAAGATGTGATTGAGACATCTAATAATTGCCGAGCTAAGTAGCGTTACCTTATGACTCAAGCGAGGGCACCAAAGTGGTTGGATGATGGTAAAGTTGACAAATGGCTTCAACGCATGAACTAAAACTTTGCATCAAAGATTTTACATTTTTTGTGTATCTAGTGTAGAATGATCTAAAAACATCACCAACTTATTTTCACTTTTATTTTTAATGAATTGTTTTTCATTTTTTTTTATAACTTATTTGGTTCATATAGTCGCGTAGATTCTAAAACGCAAACTTTTTTCAAAAAAGTTCATCAAAAATGAACAAAAAAAAAAAAGAAAAAAAAAAGAAAACCACAAGTTCACGGCCCAACCCGGATCTGTTTCCTAGTGGACAGAGTCACCACACACAGTGGAATAATTTCCCTGGACTAAAATACATAGATGGTCCCAATAATCAATACACATCAGTATCGCAAAACGTGGTAGTTCACCATTATAAACATGTGACCAAAAAAAATAGTTTACAGTATGCTAAGTTCACACATGTTTGAAAAATAATTTGATTCTATTGATAATATAATAATTTTATCAAAACAGTTTAGTCATGAAATAACAATTTAATTTTCCAACAGTTCAAGGTAGGGGAACATTTATAAAAATATGTAGCATGAAACTACTCACCTGAAAACGAAATAATATAATCTTCAAATAGAGTATGAAAGTCCAACTAGTGCCCTAAACCAAGTATGAACACTACACGTTACTACTAATTTAAAAATACTAAAGAGAATAATAAATTAAGTATCCCACACTAAAGCGCACTAACGCAGCTCAACCCCACTCACCGTTACTCTTAAATAATACCTAAGTTCATGTTCTTCAAGGTCTAAAACTACTCAAGACATGGGCTCAAATCGAAACTTAATTAAAAGTAACTTTAAGATAAAACAAAGTTTTAAACAAACTTTCCCAATCTATTCGCTAACTTTGAAAATTACAAAACCCACGCCACGCTATTTGAAAAATTCCAAACCCTACAGATAACAACTAATATATCCTAAGTTTGAAACCCAATTGGTCTCACTTGATTTGCTTATCAAAATAATTATTTACAATTAATTATATCTAAACAGGTTATTTTCTGCAGCACTTTAAAAAAATTAATGGTTCTGTTAGTATACATGAGCAATCAACGCAAGGCCAAAAATGTAAGAAACTAGACTCATAACCGGTTCTAATGACACTAATTTGATAATTTTTTGATTTATGCCCAAAGAGAATAGCACTCTCGAATTTACTGTTTTAAGCCAGTTTTCTGGACAGATTTGAACCCATCAGTTTATATGGATTTTGACTCCCAAAAATTATGAAAAACTTCAGATATGCAATTCAATATGTAATTAATCTACTATAAAAATTTTAGTTCAAAATTAATTCGTCTGATATGGTTTCTTGATTTTTAAAGTTTGTGATTATGTGTAGAATTTTTGGACTAAGAATTATACCCATTCTTTATACATGAATTTAGCTCCTCAGATTTCTTAACCATATATATATATACAAAATACATAAATCTACAACCTCTCTAGAATTGAGCTAAATAATAATATAGTAAGGATAAAGAACAAAAACAAAGAGAAGAAGAAAGATAGAGACCTACCACACACCCAAAAGTTCTTCCTTGTTTGCAACCCCCTTTTTCTTTTTCTTTTTCTTTTCTCTCCACCTCTCTCTCCCCGTGGCGGTTGGTCCTTGTAGGTGGGGAAGAAATAAGACGGTTCGGTGATGGTGGCGGACGATGGCGGCTACTACGGAAGAGAAAGAAACATAATCTCATTAGAAAAAAGATAGTGCAAAGTTTAAATGTTGGTAGTACACTACAAGAAATAAAGGTTTTTGCGACTTTTTTTAACGGCGTTTTCTTAAGCATCATATTTATCAATATTTAACGACGTTTTAAAAACGGCACATATTTATTTAATTAAAACGACACCGTTTTATGATTAAAGGCGCTTAAAAGCGCCTCCAAATGCTGCACATCACACGCGCGCCTATTTGAATCTGAGAATAAAGCTTTGTAAACCCTCAGCTCTTCAGACATAAACATTGAATCCTCTAAACCCTTATCGTCACGTCGCGCCTCTCTCTCAATCCTCTCTAAACCCTCGTCCTCACGACACCTCTCTCTCAATCCTCTCTAAACCCTTATTTCGAGTCTCACATTCAAATCTCAAAGATTCACCGATTTCGAAGCTCCACTTCCACCACCATCTGCACCGGCGAGGTAGCGAGATTCACCGATTCACCTATTTCACAAATTCACCGATTCAAATCTCACAGATTCACTGATTTCAGATCAATCTGCATCGCCACCGCGATTTCAATTCAGATAGGTCTGCACTGCCACCCCGATTTCGATTCTCTCTCAGAGATTCATCTTTGATTTCATCTCAGAGCGATTTCGATTTCTCTCTCTCTTGATTTCAAAGCTCCACCGCCACCACCATCTATGCAAGCTTCCATGGCTTAGCACCTCATCTCCTTATCTCTTCCACTTTGTATATACATATATATATATGTACATTTATCGATTCTCTCATGTACATACACGTATCTGTATAGACACCGATCGATAATGGAGTAGAGCTTCTTCTATTTGATCTATTTTCTACACTGCCCAGGCCTCGCCGAGACATTCCTCGACGTTTTGCTCTCTTCAGTCCCGATTTGGCTCACTGTCATGATCGGCCTTGTTATTGGTTGATCCTGGCACCCTAGGTGGACCGGTCTGCTCTATCTCGGTCTCCGCTCCGAGCTCCAGTTCGCCTGGACCACGCCACCGGGGTTCGGGGCTTGGAGGTTCTGGCTCGCCTTCATGGCATTTTCGGTTGGTCGGAGACTTTGGTCCAGGTTCATTTGGAAGGGAAAGGACGGTTCTCTGGTGGCAGCGACGGCGCAGCTGGTTGAAAGTGGCGGTGACATCAGGTGAGAACAGTTTTGAAATTTGGTTTTTCATTTATCGAATTGTTTATTAACGACTTCATTTATATATGCATATGTGTTTGTGTATCTGTTATGAGAATTAATTTAGGGTTTTTAATTGAAGGCTTCTTAGTGATTGTATGCAATTTGATGTCTTGAATTGATTAGGGACTGTGCTCTGAATCCTTATTTAAAAAAATCCTTATTTAGACAAGTTGGAGTGGAGCAAGTAGAAAGTAGGGCGGTCATTTATTTAAAAAAATTCAGCAGAAATGGAAAAGAGAAAGGAGAACCATAAAATTACGTACGAGGTTGGAAGTTCAGATGTGGCCACATTTTATTGTCTCGAAAAAAAAAATAAAGAAGAAAGGATTAGATTGGCCTCATCAAACTCAGAGAGGTTCATAATGATTGTTTTAAGTTGTACTCGGTAGATAGCTTATTCTCCATGTGCCCTTGTATCGTAGTCGAGAAGAAAGGTTATGAAAGGACTGGAGAATTTTAAGCTAATGATATCTTTCTTCAGTAATGATCAAGCTACTTCGATGTGTAGTTCACAGATTGCACATAACACTTGCACTTCAAAAACTTCATACCCGTCACCCAAATTGTGTTCGTCTTAAATAATGTGTCATGAAAGTTTATTAGTTTGTGCAAATACGCTGCATTGGCTCTTGGAAACAACAATGAAAATAACTGGAATTAATTGACAGTGGTTAGTACAGAAAGACTTGGGCGTTTTCCATTATTTTCCCTCAATCTTTTGAAGAAGCAAATAGAGCCTTAATTGTTTTTCTTTCTTCTGTTCTTTCTGTTTTAAGCATATATTTCCTACTCTATGAATTGGTTAATTTTTTGGGCTATGCATGTTCTCTTTATTTTCCCTTATGGGATTTTTCATCATAGTGTTATTCATTTCATTAGTCCTTTTATTTTATTTGTTTCTTTCTTTTTACCCTCTTGTTACCCTGGTTGATGTAAATTATGATGAAATTTTAAATCTCACAGTTCTGAGCTACTTTCTTTATGTGGTTACTTTGGTAGGCTATTAATATTTAGTTGTAATAATGATTCTTTGTTTTAATTCTATTACAGTTGCCATGTGATGGGGTGAAGATGAACGAGGTAAACACTTTTGATTTTAAAATGTTATTTTTTTTTCTTTTTAACACAGAATGGAGCTACCTAGTGTTGGGCCTAAAATGATTATCCAAATTGCTGCAATTTACAACTGACTATGTGATGAAGGACAAGCCATGCCTGCTTACTAAAAATACTTATATCTCTATTATTAACCCCATTCATATTGCTTAATTGCTATGAAGCACGGACACTTCAAAATAGGCGTCGTAGTGGTGTTGGACACGTCAAATGGCATGTCACTTTAATTTTACTTTCTTTTTTTGTTGGGACACTTCAGGGACACGCGTGTCCAAATATGGATAATCTATTAATTTATTTAAATATAATGGTTTATATATATATATTTATATAGTTAATTAATGTTAGTTTTTATTAATTTTGATTGTTTGGTAACATAATATTGATCTACATAGCAAATATATGTAAAAAATAAATTTTAGAAAAAATTTGCAGTGTCTCCCACTGTATCCGTATTCCCTCTTTTTTGAAATCACTGTGTCCCATGTTCATATCCGTGTCTATGCTTCATAGCTTAACTACTTGGAGCCAAAAAAATAAATAAATAAAATGAAATAAGAAAGAAATTTCGGAATGACAGCTTGTGAAAATCATTTGAATGTGCGGCCTTCATTGGCTACTGTACATCCGGTAAATCCCAGAAGCCTAATTTTCATTTTGATGGTGAATAGACTTTCCTTCTAACAAAGTTTTTAATTCTTTATTCACAGTATTAGATATTTAAAAACATCAATGAGTTTTCGTTATATTATTTCTGGAATTATGTTTGGACGACTTTTAACTTTGACTTGTCTTGCTTCTATAGTAACCCATAGAGCTTTCTTGGTTAATCATAAATCTATACAGAAGGGCAACTGAAACTGAGTCCTTTTTGAGTTTATATACATGAATATTTATGCAGTGATGATCATTTGAGATTCTATATGGTGCAGTCATATGAAGTGAACTCTAGAGGCGTGGAAATTTTCACAAAAAGTTGGCTTCCAAAAACCTGCCCCCCCAAAGCAATTATTTATTACTGTCATGGTTACGGAGATACTTGCACATTCTTGGCTGAAGGCATGCACTTCGTAACATATATTAGAAAGTAGATTCATATTGTGAGAGAAATGGAATGTAACTGTTTTATGGAATTGTCTACAGGAATTGCCAGGAAGTTAGTATTTTCTGGATATGGAGTTTTTGCGATGGATTATCCAGGATTTGGTCTTTCAGAAGGTCTTCGTGGATATATTCCAAGCTTTGATATCCTGGTTGATGATGTCATTGAGCAGTACTCAAAAACCAAAGGTATAGTACCTAATAATTTGCTTTTCTTTGCTACTATATTGGGATTTCTTTGTGGGAACTCTATAGTTAGAAGCTAGAACATTTGCATTGAGAGATAGGATTGACTCCTTTGCACACTAAACTTCTTATCATGTTTGTTTGGTCATTGTCATGTTTCAACGAAAAGAAAAGATGAAATAAACAAGAATAACATTGGAAGATTGTTAAAAAGCCCAACCAGCTAGCTCTTTGGAGCTCCAAAGAATGGAAAGAGCTATGGGATTAATGATGTTGCAAAGTTAATGTCTCCTAGTAACTAAAACAAACTTTTTCAGTTTGTGTCCTGACTCCAACTCAAATAAACTTCCTAGTTTGATCAGGACAATAATTGACCAATTTTAAATATGCTAATTTTTCTTTTCTAGAAGGTTCGTACTCGTCATTTGGCAGCTACTCTGATAGATCCTATAATTAGCAATCTCCTCTACCTTCATTGGTATTTTATTCCTATTGCCTACCCTACCAACATTACCCTAGAAAGATTTTGACACACCCTGGGGATTCCGAGAATCCTTTTCGCACCCATACCCACATTCACTGAAGTTGGCTTCCAGGCTATCCATGCTGCAGTCAATATTACCAGAGGCTTTATCCCCCATTGCATTCAGTATTTATAAAAAATAAGAAATATGAAATCCATATTCAAGAACAGAAAGTTGCAAGATTCTTCATTTTATTCCTGAATGGAAATTGGAATCCATTCTTTGAACTCAGGCTGCTTTGGAGGCACCAAGGATTTTGAATCTAAACAACAATAAATATTTCTCTGGACCTTATGGTATGTTCCATTCTCAAAGTTTGTACCTTTATTTATCTATTTATTTTGCATTCTATTATAAATGGTGTAACATATCTGTCTCGTACAAATGCAGGGGAGGATGTTGTCTTCATTGCCAATGATTGGCACACTGCTCTTCTTCCATGTTATCTGAAGACCAAGTACAAACCTATGGGGATCTACAAGAATGCCAGAGTAAGATTGCTCAATTACGTCGTTAAGAATTTCAGGCAAAGAATAAAATTAAAACAGAAGAATTTTAGCCAAATGACAAGGACTATTTGTTGGGATTTAACACTAGTACTGACAAATGATGGCAGGTTGTTTTCTGCATCCATAACATTGCCTACCAAGGGAGATTTCCTTTTGCAGACTTCTCTCTTCTCAATCTTCCGGAACAATTTAAGGGCTCTTTTGATTTTATTAATGGGTATGTATGCAGATTTGAGTATTTGAAATTGCTATTGCCGGAGATGTCTTAACATCGGATGGAATTTTCCAACTGCTATGGTTTGAGAAATTTTTTTCTCTTGTCAAGTTCTGACAAGTTTTCGCATGTTGCAGGTATGACAAGCCTGCCAAGGGAAGGAAAATTAACTGGATGAAGGGTGGAATATTAGAATCAGACAGGGTCATAATAGTGAGCCCATATTATGCCCAGGAACTTGTTTCTGGTATAGATAAGGGTGTGGAATTGGATAACATCATTTGTAAGACTGGTTACCGGTATAACTGGTATTGTCAATGGCATGGATGTCCAAGAGTGGAATCCATCTACAGATAAATACATTGATGTCAAATATAATGCCACAACTGTAAGATTCTTTTAATTCCTTTTCTACTGTCTTAATTTTCCATTAATCTCTCAATATTTTTGTGGCTTTAAAAAGCCTTAGCGTATTACAATGGTGATTTTTTTAGGTCATGGCTGTAAAGCGTCTTTTGAAGGAAGCACTTCAAGCAGAAGTTGGGTTGCCTATGGACGCAAACATCCCCTTGATCGGATTCATTGGTAGACTAGAAGAGCAGAAAGGCTCGGATATCCTAGCGGCTGCCATTCCTAAATTCATTAGAGAGAATGTTCAGATTGTAGTTCTTGTAAGTTTAGTGTTTTTTTTTTCTTAGGTAACTTTTTTTTTTAAAAGAGAACTTTTATTTGTCGCTTTTTTCTGGTATGAATTGTAAAATGGATTTGCTCTTTCTATTAGGGCATTGGCAAGAAATACATGGAGAAGCAGCTAGAACAGCTCGAGATAATATATCCCGACAAGGCCAGAGAAGTGGCAAAATTCAACGTACCCTTGGCCCACATGATTATTGCTGGGTCTGATTTTATGTTGCTCCCTAGTAGATTTGAACCTTGTGGTCTCATTCAATTGCATGCCATGAGATATGGATCAGTAAACCCTGTTTTTCCCCCTGTTTGGCTGTTGCTTTTAAAACTTAATGAATCATGCACAATTACTTGCTTAAATTGATCATTCTTTCATGATTTTATTTTATTTTTTAAGAAAACACTGTGCTGGGTCACGAAGGAGGAGCCTTGCTTTCATAGTGCCTTTGCTACCACTTGGCTACAAGGCCTGTGATTAGATTTCAAACTCGTTGAGAAAAGTTAGTTATTATTGTGTTAATCCTATGTTCGTGTCTCTAAGCCATCTTTAGGGTCTCTTCACTCCAAATATCATTCGACTGGTGGTTAATGGTTTAATTTACCTATTCATTTTTTAGTACACATTGTCTATTTTGTAGCTCAAGATCCTCATCTGCTATCATTCTTTCTTGATATTGCAGCTAACTATGACGGAAATCGATTCATAACCATTTAGGATGGTGTGTGGAAAGTAAGTCCTTGATGGGTTTGTCTTAGCGCAATATTTTTGCAACTTTACTGCATCATCTATTCAGCATACTTAATAAGAGAACAACAATTTCTGGTCTCAGGCTCTTAAGGGTGAAAAGAGATAAATTAATACTGAGCGAAGTCTATAAATTAAATAGAATGTTTTGTGGGACGTAATAGATACTAATATAAGTTGCAGCATGAAAAGAGATAAAATAAAGTACATTTAGAACCTGTACGTAACACATTTGTTATAATTTCTTCTAAAAAGCTCTTCCATGCCTTTGCTTTATGGAGAAATCTACACAACTTTGATATTGTGCATTAGAGTAGATTTTTTTGTTATGCCATGTTTAATTTCAGATTGGCTTGTGTTATGCTTTGCCTGACTAGAACTGAAGGCTTCTAGGTCATTCTACATAGACTAAATTCTTAAAAGAAGCTATTATTTATCCAGCCCAATAATATTAATAATTTCTTTAATTGAACTATTTATTCTAATAATATTTAATAATTTCCATAACTTATACTAATGTGAACCCAGCTCAATATTCAACAAGAACCATCTAGAATTAATTCCTACAGAAGAGAAGGGTACAATGAGACCAAGACAGTGCAACTTCTGAGCCAAACCCACATTCAATCTCCGAGTTCACTAAGACCCAGGCAATTCGTCAATGAGAGTGAAAACTCAATGCTTCACATGTTTTCACCCCCATAAAACTATCAAGTCTGTATTGAAACCCATTTCATGAGTTGGGTATAACTGGGTTAATTAATTAGACTGGCTAATAAATTGTTTTAATCGTGTGGTTGTAGGTTCAATATCCTAGCAGCAGCAGCAGCAGCAGCAGCAGCAATGGAGGTCAAATTGGAGCCACCACCAGAGGCAATCACCTCTCCCTGTCAATGAGCAACAATCAGCAAAGGCCGTTCATCAATCCTCCGCAACTGTTTGCAACTGCTGCAGCATCATCAGGATTCCCACAACAAATAACTACCCGACCCCAAAATTGGCTACACCAAAAAAATTGATTTTACTCTCTGATGAGACCCTCTTGACCCAACTTTTTGTTTTTTGTTTTTTAAATCTTTATGTAACAAGGCCTTTGGAGTTTGTAAGCATGGAAAGATTAATGCTTTGAGCTTAAATTTCTTCGTTTGTGTGTTTCTAAAACCGTACATATGTATTATTGTTTAGGTTGCCTTCTTATTTATTATTACATCAATAGGTCCTTGTTCATATTACATTTAAAAATTAAAAAAAATTAAAAAAGGGGATATCACGGCGTTTCTGAAAATGCCACCTAAAACTGTAAAAAGCTAACGGTAAGTTTTTTAAAAAGATATGGTGGCATTTTGAAAACGTCGTTAAAATGATAGTGACGTCATAGTACCTTCGGTGGGATATTTGGCAGCGTTTTTAAAAACGCCGCCTATAGTCATATAACGACGTTTTTTAAAACGTCATAAAGCTATAGCGACGGTCGCAGCATCGGCGTTTGATATTAAACGTCACAAAAAGAATTAACGACGTTTGTTATACCTATAGCGGCGTTTAATAAAGTACATTTAAAAAACTCCGCTAAAAGCAGATTTTCCAGCAGTGATAGTAGAATCGTAAGTCTATCCCACATCGTTCATAATCTAATTAGAAAAAAAAATAGTGTAAAGTTTAAATATTGGTAGTAGTATAATCGTAAACTTGTCCCACATCGTTTAAAAACAACGCATAATGTTTGAATATAAGGGGTGATTGAGACATCTAATAATTGCCGAGCTAAGTAGCATTAGCTTATGACTCAAGCGAGAGCACCGAAGTGGTTGGATGATGGTAAAGTTGATAGATGACATCAACGCTTGAACTCAGGCTAGACTAGCGAACCTGTACGTTCTAGCTAGCTTGGTTGAACTCAGGCTAAACCGAGTAAACCACTAGGTTCTAGCTAGCTTGGTTGAACTCAGGCTAGACTGAGTAAACCTCTAGGTTCTACCTAGCTTAGTTAAACTCTGTAGGTTGTGGTCAGCTTAGTTGAACTCAGGCTAGACAGTGAATTTGTAGGTTCTCTGGCTATAGCTTTTGTTTAAGTCATTGGACAACCACCACTTCTTTTTTTTTTATTTATTTTTTCTTTTTTAACGTGTAGTAGAAAATAAAAAATTAATATTGTGATGATCATGGATGGACTTTTATTTTTCAATTATAAAATAAATAAATTTGTACTGTTATGATCATGGATGGATCTTGAAAATTTGAAAATCTAATACTTTCGCACCCTGTGGATCAGTCCGTGGTGATGATTACAAAACATAAAAGTGATGATGTTTTCTATTTCAATC